GGACACAGACATAAAACTGTGGCTTATCTAGTGAATTTTCAGTCTCGAGCTAACAGCAGCTTTAGAAGAACAAAAAGGGGACTAAAATTTGACAGGAAAGAGGTGAATTGCTAAAAGGAGCAGTACAGTTTAAAGCAGTAGTGACAGCAAGCTGCGAGATAATCTGGTGCAAAGCAGCAGCTTGGAGGATTTTTAGCATTTTTTGATCTTACTATTCCCATTCCACCTGAACTCTGCCACACAGGAGCTGTAGCCATGGTTCCACAAGCCAGGAAATACAATAGTTTGCTTAGTATCAGACAAAAAAAAAAAGTAACCAAACAAAAAACAAAAACCAACCACCCTGTGTAGCTGTATGGTGAGAAATGGCTGAACCAATACATGCCCAGTCATTGCTGGTTTAAATTGGCTTAAAAACGTTACAGTGAGGCAGATTTTGTGCTGGGTCAGGTATCATCCATCTTTCCACAGTCAGCATAAAGACTGTATCATGCCTGGCCTGACTTGACAGAAATGTAATTGCATAATCCTGCCAGATCTTAGCGAAATGCATGCTGCCAGGTATTCCAGTAGTGCAGACAAGCATTCATTAAGCCAGTCTGCCTTACAGAGTCTAGGTAGCAGGGTGTCTGCAAGAAGATCATTTTCTCTGTAGGCTGAATCCACTGACAGGCCTGTTGACTTGTCAGCTTTGCGTTAAATCTGTCGAGTCCTTTTCACACTGTCAGAAATAAATCTGTCCCATGAAAACACATCTGACAGAAGAAAATTATTATCGTGTTCAATCTCGTTCTCCTAGTACAGCATGGATGGGATTCATTTTCTATTCGTGTTCACCTTATCTGAAGGTTGTGAAAGAAGCTGCATCAGTGATATTGGAGAAGATTTAAATATGCATCATATTTTTCAACAGAAATGCAAGTGCATCCACAAACAGACAGGAATTACTGAGCAGAAAACTCTCCCCTTTACGTTTCTGTCTGAGCATCCCTGTAATAATGGTTCTGCATTGATGCAGCTTTGGCAGGCAGATAGGTTCCCAAATGCCCTGTGATTTCACAATAAAGCTGTGCTGTGTGAATAGCTTCGCCCATCACTGAAATGCTGCCAAATCAGAGATGGTAACTGCCTGCTTTTGCGAGAGGCCTTAGCAACACACTACAACACTAAGAGAGGGCGTAAAGAGACTTATCATATTTATGGTGGAACAAGCAAGGAGACAATTAAAAAACTCCTAATTTGACTGTAGATCAAGAGCAGTTCTTGGCCTAAGCTCACATGCTAATAAACTGCCAGAAGAAAGAGTCAGGACCTATGCATCTGTGAAATAATGAAGGGGCAGCAGGGAGGAAATCAAAGCAAGACCATAATGCTTAGATCTAGTTGCAGAATGAGCTTCTTGTGTTTTCAGGTGTTGAGCACCTCCAGCTCTGGCTGGAGTCAGACAAAATGGCTCAGGTTCTTTATGCTATGAAAGAGTCCCCTGAAAACAAAAGCCCTGAACTAAATAGTAGAATTAAAAATAAGGTCTTAAGTTTATTACGCTGTTATTAATAGCTTGCCCTTAGAGTTTTACACTGTCTGTCACCCTGCTATCCAAATACTTAAGTAACAATCTTCTCTTTTTCTATGCTAAAAGCAAAACTAGGAAGTCAGCGCTATGAATCACCTATGTAGCAATTCTCTAGGCACTTGTCTGTGTGAGGAAACACTGTCACAGAGACTCCAATAGCTAGTTGTAAACAGAGGTCTGTCCCATCTGCCCTTTCCACTTGTCATGCTATGTGTTGATGAACACTCATGATAATTTTCCTCTTTTCTTCTAAAGGGTTCTGTCACTTAAGAACAAAATACATGCATTTACACTTCGGTTTTCCTGCTAAGTACCTCTGTACAGGACAATACAGGTGTGACCAGCACTTGTTAGAACTGCACAGAGAAAGAGATGTTTTTTGTTTAGCTGGGCACCAACAGGAGAGATCTCACACATTCTCTGAGCATCAAAGCTAGTGGGACACAGGTGTGGGTTGGGCTTCTGTCCCAGCCTGAGATCTAGACAAGTTCATGTTGTGACTGCTCTGAAATATCACAAAGTGTTACTCCCCACGGCTTTATTCTCTCTTTAATGGAGCTATGCAGGACACCTGTCAAGAGAATATCTCCAAACAGGCAAAGAAGCTGGGAAAGAAAATCTGCTAATCAGTCTAGACATTTAATGAAGTCCACAGAGACATTCAAGACTCACTGTATGTTACTGTAGCAGCTGGGAACATACAAAAGGTCTGAGCAAATATTAATTCCCTTTTCATGTTGGGTAGAGCAACATTTTTGTTTGTGAATAGAAAAAAGAGGCTCACAGAACAGATACCCTCAAAGTGCCACTGTGGATCCAGGCTTGATACATGATAAAATGAACAAGAGCTAAGCACCTAAAGATACTTTTGGACACACCCTGAGACCCAGGCAGATCAAAGGGCTAAGGTCAGTCTCCCAAGTCCTCAGCTAATACCAAAACCATTTTATTTTTTTAATTTCTTTTTTTTTAATAATCAGTCCCTACTTTTACTGGATCATCAAAAGGCTGGCCAAATGTCAGGTGCAGATGCTTCCCCTACCTCAGCCTCTTAATACAAAGAACCTGACAGTGGCTGTTCCTCTGCTGTCAGAGGGAAACCATCCACATGATCTATGACAGGACAGCACTGTAACGTTACAAGGTGCCCTAGAGAGCATGACTGCTTTCCCCCTTGCCTCCCTGCAAGAAAAAGGCTGGAAGAAGTAGTTGTGGTGGAATTCAAACCCATACCAGGTTGACAAGAAAGCATCTCAGTCAATAAGGTTTGACAAGATTAAATGCGCAAACATCTCCAAACAAAGTCGCCCTGACTCATTGCTTCCATGGTGAAAAAGCAAGCTGTGTAGCTCTGCATATGAAGAATAAACTATTCTGCCATGCTAGATGACTTCCAGTACCACCCAGGCAGAACTGAATAGGAGGTGTGGGTGTGCATGCTGTGTTTAGCAAAGTTTGGGGCAAAAGCGGGGG